GCGTGGGTTCTCTCCAGGTTCTCCAGCTTCCTCCCACACAGTCCAAAAACATGTTGAGGTTAATTGATGATTCTAAATTGTTCGTAGGTGTGAATGTGAGCGTGCTTGGTTGTCTGCGATAGACTCTCTTCACCCTAAGTCAGCTGGGATAGGCGACCCTCGTGAGGATTAAGCGGTGTATAGATAATGGATGGATATAATCGAATCAAGATCCACAAACAAATGTGAGGAAGTTAGCTGAAGGTGAAACCGATGAAGCCAGTTAACTGCACAGAGTGTCGTGTCTGTGTGAAGTGTGAGAAAGGAGCTACGGATTGTGACTCATAACACTGCAGGGCAGCAGTTTGGAGTCAAAGAGCTCATCCTCCTCATGGTGGTTCAGGGGCAAAATGTGAGCCCTTTAACTTGTGAAACACACCACGATCCTCATAGAAACCTGGTAGTGACCTGCTCTTTCTCTTTTAACAGGATGTGTTATTTTTAAAGGTACATATTTAGAAGCATTGAAAATAATCCCTTCCCACCTAAAAATGACTTAGATGTGATGCTAAAGAGTTGCTTCGTCTAGAATGGACAGATTTTCCCTCTCCACTTATCAATTTAACAACCGCTCGCTGCAGCTCGAGCACACCAGCTTACCCATAACTTAGCTAAAACATTTAAAAACCACTCTACGTCGGCAGGATTGGTTCCTTAGATTTGTTTCGTACGAATGTCTGAATTCATGCTCTTGAAATCATCACCGCAGTTTTGAGGTGGAATTGCTCGGCCATGGTACTGACTGATTATTTCCCTCGTGTCTTCCAGCATATGAAACACTTCAGCAAGGCAAAAGATAAGTTATTTTCACCAGAAGGGGGTCTTTAATGTTTTGCTAAAGCTGAGAAAAAATGTGAAAGCAATGGATATAAGTCCCTTAAAGTCAGTGGTGCTATCTGACATTATTGTCCTTGCTGAAAAAGAAAGGCAATGTGTTATAGAAGTCTAACATCAGGCCCCTGTACACAGTCTTCCTTTCTTTAAATCTTTAAATAAACCTGCAGTGCGCCTAATTCCTACACGGTGCTGTTAACCGTCTAGTTGCATGCTTTCATGCTTGAGTAAGCAGGTAGGATGAGCTCCTGAAGTTTATTCACTTGTGCTCTACTTAATACTGTTTTGAGATCACAAACGCGGAGGTTCAGTAGCTGTGATCTGAGCACGACGGATATCTTTTAAATAGGATGTGACTTTGTAGTATTATAAGGTTAGTAGAAAAGAAATTCTGTAATTAATTAAATATAGATGTCAAAGCTTCAAAGTACAAATGCAGTTTCAGCTCCATCATCCATTCATTACTGTCATTACACCCTGCAGGTAATTACTGTACTTACCTGTCATTTAGCTCCTACTTGTACTGCAGCTGCAACGCTGCAGAATAAAGCCCAACACAGCGTTTTTCTAACTTTCACCAAGACTCTGTGCTCGAGTGTGTTCTGTAGGTTGACGTGGAGCAACGGCAGCAGCAGCAGATGTGGCGCAGTGCTGTTTCTGCCCTTCACTGCCGTAGTCTCTGTGGTGCCTTAACATCATTACTGCCCTCCTGTCACCACAGCAACCAGCCTGGTTACATCCTCAGCGCCGCTTTTGTTTAGGTATTTATCGACTCTGCGCGTGTGAATGTTGATGTGATGTATATCAAGAGAGAGTCAATCACAGCCATCCGCACGTCAATAACAACGCAGTGTCGCCTTTAAGTGAATGAATAACCACAACATTCATTACTCTGCATCGTATCAGACAATCAAGTTTATTAACCCTCCTTTCCATCACCTTTGTTCCTCTTCCTTCTATTCCCTCTTTGCTTTTAGTGATTCCCAGAACGTGGCCACATGCCGCCTGCACTGACTGAAGCTTTAATAACGCTAAAAGGTTTGCCGCCCCCACACCTCTCTCTTCTCTCCCTTGGTAACCTCACTCATTACTGAAATTATCAGGTCCGATCTAATAACTTACCTGCCTGTGAGTCACCGCGAGTCCAGGAAACAATGATGTGAGCATCAGAGACGTCTTACTGTTAGAAATGATGGAAGCGTGAAGGTAAATGAGCAAAACCACAATGCGAAGAACTTCTTGCTTGGTGTGCGGTAAATTGACTTTACTCATGGGTCCTATATCATGGAAGTGAACAGATTAAATATCTATAATTTATCAACAGAAGCTGGGAGAGCGCGCTGATGTTTCTCTTGGAGATGTATCGTTTCTCAGTGCTGAATAATAAATGTTAAAGCGGGTTTTAAATCTGTGCAGCTGAAGGCCCTGCGTTGTACTTGGCACTCTGTGATGGATGTACGCCGCCTATGTATCCCACACAGCATGAAGAGCTACAGTATATTTCATGTTACAGTAACGCCACACTGTCATGTGTCCTGCCAGTGCTTGGACTTTAGCATTTCCAGCATTTCCACGCTGCTTTATACTTGTATGCCATGACACATTGAAATTTTATTTCTTTCCATTCACCTTATATCCAAAAAAGAATATCATAAAGTGCTAAATTATTATGCATGTTTATATCATGCCAAAAAAACAGCAAGGGTGCCAGAAAAATTACATAAATAAATGGTGGACCTCTGTAACATTCAAAATCTGTGTCAACAGTGAAAATAACAGCAAGTATCTGTAAAATAATAGTATTTTTGCTTATTCAAATACAGTGTAACAGTGTAACAGTATAATTTTAATTGTAAAATCTGTAAAAACAAATACAGGTTTGTAATGTGGATGTTATCATGTAAACAACTATTTTTGTCTTGTGATTTTTGGTAGATATTATCTGTATTTGAACAAAAAACAGGTATATCTATAAAATAGTAGTTAGAAAAATATTGTCTCTTTTTTTTAAAACCTGAACACCCATCATTTTTCTTTTAGATAATGGAAATCATCAGTGAAATAATTACATTTTTTGCTGATTTCTGATTTAAATACAGTAACAAATAGTGTCATGTTACGTTCAAATGTGGCAAAAGAACAAATGACCATTTCTAAAAATAAACTTGTGGACATTATTAACTGTTTTGGCCTGTTTTGGAGGGCTAACATGTAGGGAAAATACTTATTTTCTGTGATTTTACTACATAGTATCAAACAAAATAGACGATCCGTAGAGTAACTGCAAATTTTTAACAGAGTGTATAAAGGAGATTACATTCAATACACCGTAGGGTAAAAGGTTAAGTAAACGACATGTAAAAGGTTACTTAATAAAATATAAAATCATAGGGGACATTTTTCTGCATAATGAGCACTTCCATGTTTGACCCTTCAGGTGCATTTTGCTGACGTATGTACTGTGGTGTTGTAGACGTTCACAAAATGACAATCATGCACAGTAATTATCACGTCCTTGTTAAACACGACACAGCCAAAAATCACTGCATAATAATTTATTCACATATTATTTTTTTCTTCACATACTATATATTATTATTGCTGCAGTTGTGGCGCCTCTCAGGTATTCACTTTCAATATTCCCATAATGAGATTCTATGTTCATATCTCTTTATATTTTTCATCTTCATGCATGCTGAGTATTACATTTCACAGGAGCAGGATGCAAATAAATAAAACAGTCTCTTTTTAAAGTTACATGTCATAATCTATCCATTCTATTAATGCTTCAGTAACATGCCTTTTTCAGAGTCCATAAGGGGGGGGGGACACTTCTTGGAACATATAGTCTCCATTAGAGGGTGAAGGCATAACAAAGAGCACATTAATAATACATATTGTTAAAGCTGGCAATCTATGATTAATCTTCATATCCACCCAAACCCTTGTTTCCCACCCATGTAAAGCCTATCTATACCGCACAGGGAAAAGGCTAAGTGTAATTATTACATTTCATCTATGTACAGGAACTTTGAAATATGGCACCAAATCTGCTTGTGAAAAAAAGCTTGAGGTTACACGTTAAAATATTTGTGACTACAATACTTTTCCTGCTTAACTGAAAAAAGTCTGTATGTAATTCCATTCATGAGCTTTCAACTGCCGTCACGTTTTACAAGCCAAAATGGAATCACTGGCACACTTTTCTCGACTGTTTTCAGTGGGTTCTGAGAGTAAACAGCATGCCTCGCAGGCACTGGGAGCATCGCGGTGCGTTAACACAGTGTTGGAAAGTAGATCTAACTCATCTTCAATGCACTCTGTGTCTCACTTTGAGCAGGAGCTCCCAGGCAATGTTAGTCTGTAGTCTGATTGGCACCTAATGCAACAAGAATACAAAGGATAGTGAAAAAGCCTGGTACACTAACAACAAATACCGTGTTCCAGTTAATGCTGATCATTTTAGTGCTGAAAGTTTTTTGTGTTCATCTTTGTGTTTGTTAAAAAAGGTGCTTGTTTGTCCAGCAGTTTTTACTCGAACATAATGGACAATGCGAAATAGCGTTATCTCTCTTTCAGTAGCTCAGATTAGTTTAGCATTCAATTTCCTGACTCAAAGTCAGACTGGCTTTTTTTTCCCACACACACATGCGTATGCATGCACACGCTTAAGCTCTTGCATATGCACACATAATTGGAAAATGAGGGGATTATTCTGACCTACAGCAAAGGCAAATAATAAGACCTTCAGATAATTCCACCTCAGACTATCTTTACAGTATTTTAATATTATTTGTAATTGCTCAGTTTTATCCGTGGGGTTCTTTGAAGGCACCTAGTGTCACCTAGGCAAAGCAGAAGTCACAAAATGTAAGCTTCAGATGTAAGCTTTGTTGCAGCAACACGGTTGCCTTTATAGGAAGGAGAGTCTTGTCTCTTGAAGTGTCAAAAACTACATGGTGAATTAATGCTTCGTCGTGACTACACAGAGTCTGTCTGTCTGTGCTCCTGAATGATAATAATGCAGTGGTGAGTTTTGTGCCCTACTGATCGGGGGTTCGGGGCCAGGGAAAAGCTCTTCTCCAAAATTTAAAAGGTCCTCGAGCCCCCAGGCAGAGCAGCCTCTGTCAGACGTAGGCTGACTCACTAGACTGGGTCCTGCCCAGGTTCGGGGCCTGGGACAGGTGTGAAACATCCTTCTTGCGCACTTCACAGATAGACTTTCTTCGGGCCTGAACGCCTCGGATCGCCGTCTTTATCTTCCTCCAGCCAAGGTGGTTGAGCTCAGCCAGGTTGAGCAGCACGCATATGCCGCTTACTGCAAACATAAAGACCAGAAACACAGTCTTTTCTGTGGGCCGAGACACGTAACACTCCACCTCCTTCACACACGGGTAGCGGTCACACTCAAACATTCCCGGTACGTTGAAGCCGTACAGGAAGTACTGGCCGGCCAAGAAGCCGATCTCCAGTGCGTTGCGGAACACCACCTGGATGACGTAGAAACGGGAGATGCCTTCTTGTCGTCGCACTTTAGCGCTCTTGTGTGTTTGAGGGAGTCCCCGGGGTCCGTTAGGGATCTCTTTGACCTCCAAGCAGTCATGATCCTCCTTGCTGCTGTCGGGGTGCACCAGGATGCCGTTGATGTTGCGAGAGTGAAGCTTGCGAGCGTGATGGTCATGACCATGGCGACCATGGTGACCGTGACCATGGTGATCCATGTAAGGGTGCAGCAGAGAGTAGCTTCGATCGCGCGCTTTGGCAGACTGATGAACAGAGTATGTGATGAAGCACAGGCTCGGCGTGCACACCAAGATGATCTGAAACACCCAGTAGCGGATGTGTGAGATCGGAAAGGCCTTGTCATAACAAGCCTGGTTGCAGCCGGGCTGCATAGTGTTGCAGATGAACATGATTTGTTCATCTTCATACACCTTCTCCCCCACTATGCCGACTATTAGGATACGGAAGATCACCACCACTGTCAGCAGGATCCTGCAGAGAGACAGAAGGAGAAGGAAAGGGCAGGAAGGGGAGGGGGAAAAGGGAGAAAGGCAACATCAGTTAATGAGGAATAAATGCACAGAGGTTCTGGAAATATGTGGATGTGACCCTGCCCTTTTAAAACTGGCTGCACGTCTTTGTTTAGTGTAAAGGAACTGGTTATATGATGTGTTTTTTTGTATTGGCTTTTCTGCATCTACAGGGACAACGTGACACTATATCTGCCTTGTAATTAAAAACCATTACAAATCAACAGAAAGAAAATAGTTTTCAGGTTTAGAACAGACCTAGGTATGAGCTTGTGTGTCTGTGCGTGGGTATGTGCATGCATGAATGTGTTGCACGTGTTATCACTCATCCGCTGTGACAAACAATACTGTAGGATGGTGGAGCTGCGCTCCAGATAGCATGTACACATCAGGTCACTAATCATATGAGACTAGACAGGAGGGTTTGTCAGAAGATAAAGGTGATTTCACACTCATCTTCACCGCTGGGCAGAAACAGAACAACACGTTTGACAAACACAACACAGTGGTCGGTGCGTGTGACTGCTCATACAGGCTGAAACACTGGTAGCTATCCATTGATTTAAGGATCAGTGCTGCAACATTGCAAGGATTCTTCTGATAATATTAATTCATGCTATCTTTCACCATAAATATTTGGTTGCTGAAAAGTTAATTAATATACATTAAATTGATGTATAAATGACTTCTTTTTGTTTCATTCTTGACCTTCAAGTGAGGGGAGAGGAAGGCACCATATTAAAAGGCAACAACTGTCACATCTGCAGTGTTTAGAGATGCACCTTTCTAAAGAGCTCACATCCTAAATAAGTAAGTTGTCTCAAATCTGCCAAAATACAGGCATTCATTCTCTAAGGGAGAGTTGATTATTAGCAACTTATTGCTGAACCACGCAGCTAGCACTTTTAAAAAACTGATTTCCCACTGAGCATCATTAGTGCACTGCTGCAGTTATAGAAAGCTGCATCCAGAGAGCAGCGGATCTAGAGAGTAGTGCAGCTGCTTCTCAAGACCTCTGAGAGACTGGTGTGCTGTACTGTTATCTTCTGGTGTCGATCCAGCATGGGCACTGCGGAGGAGGACTGGGGCTTTTGGGCTGCACTGTCAGCTCTTTCTAATGAGTGAGGAAAGCCTGCGCATCATGGGGCTCCCTGGTATTTATGCCACAATGCAGAGGATGTGCATGCTCCCTGGTTGGAGGAGCCAATTACTTAGAGCACACTTGTTTCCAAGCACACGAGGGCCACCCAAGGCAAGTAAAGGGACAGAGATAGATGGGAGCTCGCCCCCGGTAGGTTAGAACAATCGGGGTGAAAGGCAGCTACATAGGACAACGGTCCTTAATGTGGTGTAAGGCAACACGATTCCTGTCCTCTTTAATTCACACATAAAAAGCAGGTCTTTTGTTCTGTTGTTTTTATCCACATGTCAAATGAGACTCCACAGTTTATCTTTTAATGAGGACTCAAAATGTCCACACTGCAACTTCCATGGCCAGTTACCACAGCAACCTGCAAATCAGTGAAAGGTGAGGATGTGGAGACAAGTACAGGGCTGTAGGAGGCGGGTGTAGACACCCAGGTATGGAGGAAAAAACAGCCTAAAATAGTCAGAAATGTCTAATGAGTTAAAGTTGTGTTTCTTTGGGTAGCGATAAACTAAATGTCTTTGAATGATGCAATCAAAGAGACAGCTCGTTTAAGCGCAATGGAGGACAGGTGAAGGCAAGAGGTACGGCAGAGGAACACGTGTTAGCGTCAAACAGAAAAAATAGAGCAGTGCGCCGCTGGAGGACTGTTCCTGCTCCACCTGCGAATGCACGCCTGTGTGTGTTTTTTTGTGTGAGAAAGACAGACACGAGGACACAGAGACAAAGAGGGAGAGTCAGCCATGTGTATGACTTGTGCAAAATGGCAAACATGTCCAGCCGCCTGTGCTCAGAGCAGCTGCGAGTGTATACGCTACACTGACTTTCAGTGTGTTTGAAAATGCAGCAGACTAAAGCTTCTCTGCACCTTCGGACTTTCAAATAATGTAAATCATTTACATAAAGATAGGAAGTCACGATCTCATCCTTTGCAGTTATGTGTATCTGCCTTCACTGGTGGTTTGACAACAGTGGATCTGACCGAGGAGCTGATATTGATGGTGCTCTGCACCACAAGGAGTCATTTGACGCATACTGCTCGCTGAGATGGAAATCTGTGGTCGACGCTGCTCATTTATATGCAAATACTTGTTTAAGTCATATAGGGAATATGACAAACTCATGTTCAGTGTGTCTTTGTGACAATCTGCAGTGCAGGAAGCTGATTTAAAACTACATAACCGGATAAAGAGCAGCTTACAGCAGATCTGCATTCACATTGTCTTTCTGTTCAAGCTCTGTTTCCTCTTATCCCGACTGGTAATTACTGCATCGTAATGATGTTAACTAAATGTCACTAAGTCTGCTCGCTCGTCGCAGCTATGTATAAAGACAGAAGCTCATAGACTGAACAGATGTTTTACGGCGAGACATTAGTTACATTTTTTTTTAGAATGTTTTCAGTAAAAGATGGTTCGTATTTTACTATTAAATGGTGCATAGAATCTCTGCAGAGGAAAAGCACAAACTCTGTATAACGATTTTGTCATCAACTGGAAGCAGTCTCGAGGCAATGTGCTCTGTGCAGACCTGTGACATCCTCATTACCCATGGACTCTTTTTTAACCTATACCCACTACACACCATGCATCAGACTGTACTGTATCTGAGGTTGGTTTTAGGGACAGTCTGCACCGTCAAGATTCCAGCCTCATTTAGATAATTTCTTGCTGACTTTCTATGTTTTCGTTTTGTCTTTTTATAGCACCTTTAAAGCTGCCCTGACACAAAATGCACTGTCCTTTTTTGCCCTGAACAAACTGTTTAGACAGACTGTAAGTCCATCTTAGTCTATCCCTCGTGATATCAACTAAAACTATTATTATAAAAGTAGTTCAGCACCCAAATTGAATATTATCAGCCCATTAAACCGCTGTTATCATTAATCAACACTCATATAATTATAGTTCAGATTGGGACGCCTACACTAACTATCACCCATTCTGTTCATAAAATAAAGTAACCCAGGTTACGTTGGCAAATCGAACCACAACCAAGCAGTTTAGGTGCCTTCATCTAATCAAACAATCACTGAAAAGTCAGAAGCGACAGTGAAACAAAAGTACCACACGGGACAAAAACCTCAATTTCTTGGGCGTAAGTTCAGAGGTCTGCAACTGAGTTATGCCATTACTAACCTGTTCGTCTCTGAATGCACATTTTAACACTATTTTAGTACATATTATATGTGTCTGATCATCGCCGAGCAAACTAGTGGGTGGTGGAGTGTGTCTACTAGCCATATCCACGAGGAAGGGACAACAACTGATAATGATCGTTATCTAACTGCACAGAAATGCAAACAAAAAATGTAAAAAGTAAAACTATACTGCAGTCTATTTATATGTAAACTTATTTTTTTCCCCCATATTAGCACATCCAATTAATTTCCTCAGCTTGTCTCTACACAACATGAAACAAGGTCATTCATTTGTTAATCGACAGACTGCAGAAGGTTAAACTGGCCTACAAATGTGCCTCATTTTGACTCAAGCTGAGTGGGTTAAACCTACATCTCTTCCTTAAATGCAGGATTTATTGTGGAATTCACAAGTTGTATCTGAGCATCATGTGTTTATCACCACAAACTCTTCTTTTAAAGTGTAAATGACAAAATATCCAGGTTTGTTAACAATTAAAAAAAGCAGTTTGCTCACTTTACATCGCATAGGTCCATTTCTAAATTCATCAGCAGCCTCCAACCGCTTAAACACAAAACCTGCCCGCTAACTCTGCGACACAATAATGCAACAGTCACTGCAGTTTTCTCAGAGCACCTCTGTTGACCTCAACAGCGAGAACTCTCCAGTGCACTTAGAAAACTTTCCTCAGTACAATATAGTGGATACTTGGTCATTCAGTTAGTACTTTAGCCTTCTTTTTTTTTGTTTGTCATTAAAAAAATCCCAAGACATTGCACGTATTGAGCGCTTTGTGCAAGCCTGTGTGTGTATTTACGTGTGCGCTTGTGTATGTGTGTTCTCTCCTGCTGGATAACAGGATAATCAGCACGGGGCAGATTGCTGCATTAGCAGAAAGCGGTGCGCGGAGGTTATCTGCAAACATCAGTGTTTCAAGTCCTGCAGAGTAACTAGCCAATACTGTAAGTTAGAGCAGATTGGAGCAGGGCGGCCCAGAGGCCTGACCCTGCAGAATACTCAATATCCATCAGAAATGATCAAAAAGACTTCAGAATTTTCAGGATCGCAAATCTGAGGGACAGAATGTAAAAAAAAGAACTCACTTGCGGCGTCAATTGGAAAGAGACAACATGAAAGAGTCAGGCATTGTGACACATTTTCCATCACACGCTTCCTCTAAATGGTTGGTAAATTATCTCCCACCTCTGTCACCACTCATCAGCTCATTTAGCTGCCTGCTCCCCAGAGGAAAAGCTTCAAGGTAAGAATAATCATTACATTTTGGGAGACCTTCTAAATCCCCAACGCTCTACGACAGATTTAATACGATTTGGAAGCAAATTAATCCGTCTGTGTCCTTAGATTGCGCTCACATGCGAAACCTCTCTTCTCATTTCCATTTTTCTTGAGCTGCGTCACTGACAGCTGACATTTTCATGAAGTGCAAAAGCCGAGAGCGTGCTAATGTTAATGTCTGGAGGGTCGGTGAGAGGAGGAAGTAAAGAGAAAGACACGGGGGGGGGGGGCTTCAAACTTTCAAAGTGATCCGTGGGCGGCCGATCGACCTGTGAGATTTGCGCGTACAGTGTGGTGGTAGGTGCTCTTCAGCTGGTGTGTCAGCTGGACATGCAAGCTCCGTCTCTCCCAGAGGCTTTCACACACACACATGCATAC